TCCCCTTCTCCCTCCTTCCCCCTCCCCCCTGCCCAACATCCAATAGATGTTATTCTTATATGTGTACTTATGTAAACCACACAATTCTTTAATCCATTACTGTTCTTTTGAGACATACATGGCTTTCAAGCTTACAAACTGGAATCACTGTTGGAACATACTTAATTAGTCTTTCTGCAATCAGAATATGATTTCTCTTGTTATCTTGCACAATACTGGGAACAGTGCAATGCAGGGCGAAGGTTGGTCTGCAGCCCTTAGGCCAACAAAAATGAGGCACAACTGTTCCTCTGTGTAAATGTTTCTCACATAACTTTGGGGAGAAAACATCAAATGCAGCCTTTTCTTTTACTAGATTACTTAGCAAGTACCTGGAAAAACTCCATGAAATAATGCATTTTCGTAGTTAAATTCTAAGTTTGAAAAAAATTTAATTGAGACTAGGTTTTTGGTTTGTTTAATCACTGTCAGTTTTACTGAGGCCCTTCCTGGCACTGACCTTTATTTCTGAGCTGTGGAGAGCTCAGTTCTTACCCAGTGCTGTGTTGGTTCACCTGAAATCCATGGAAAGAGAAGGAGGAACAAAATCACTGATGGCCTTAATGGTCATTTTTCACACATTTAGACTTGATTAAAATATTTTTAATGCTACATTCTTGATTTATTAAGTTTTCCACCTCTGGTTTTGGTTTTTATTTGCAGAAAATGTATATTACTTAACTAAAACCCACTTTTACTATAAGATTTTCTTCTACAAAGCACATGATAAAAATAATCAAAGCTACTTTCCGTCTTTTTCATCTTTATACAGTTCCATCGAGCCTCTGTACCTAACTTATGGAATCATATTTGCCTGCGGCTGCTCCTTTGCATACCAGCCTTCCTTGGTCATTTTGGGACACTATTTCAAGAAGCGCCTTGGACTGGTGAATGGCGTTGTCACTGCTGGCAGCAGTATCTTCACAATTTTGCTGCCTTTGCTTTTAAGGGTTCTAATTGACAGTGTGGGCCTCTTTTATACACTGAGGGTCCTCTGCGTCTTCATGTTTGTTCTCTTTCTGGCTGGTTTTACTTACCGACCTCTTACTTCCAGTACCAAAGATAAAGAGAGTGGAGGCAGCGGATCCTTCCTCTTTTCCAGGAGAAAGTTCAGTCCTCCAAAAAAAATTTTCAATTTTGGCATCTTCAAGGTGACAGCTTATGCAGTGTGGGCAGTTGGAATACCACTTGCACTTTTTGGATACTTTGTGCCTTATGTTCACTTGGTGAGTATGCTTCTTCAACTTTGCTGATAATGGGTATTATTATTTCATACAGAAAACTTCTTTGCAGAGCAAGATAGATCAGGTTGAAGTTGGCCTCGAACATCATGGTTGTAATTTGGGGACTCTTAAAATGAAAGATCTCTCAAGACAAGGTCAACACATTCGTTAGACCATTAAACAGAGAGTATGTTTCATGGTTTGCTTTGGTATTTTAAAAATCCCCAAACCCAAACAAACAAAAACAATTTTAAAAAAAGGAAAGCTAAAATCTTGGAACAGATTACATCAATATAAAACATTTGATAGATCACTTTTTCTTCAAATGACTCTTATCAGGGACAAAGCTGGAGTAGTTATTCTGCCAACATCAGTAAATTATTTTTCAATGGAAAGGTGCAGAGATTGGGTAATTAGGAAAAAAGCTAATGGCTTTGACGCTTCTTTGACACAAAGAAGCGTCACATCTACTTGTGGGATACTTCTGGGAAAATGGGAATTCTATTCAGAGGAATATTTGAGAAATGTTAAGCAAGTTCTAAGTGAGGGAAGAGAGCTAGAGTTTTATAGGAAATTAGGATTTCAAGTGCTCAAGGAGTTTATATTGTTTATTTCTATTTCAAAGAGATAAACTTCAGCCTCTTTATACTGAAACAAGAATAAGCAGTGTCTAAAGTATTTGCCCCTGGCAAAATTTGCTCAAAAGTGCTTATTATGTTTCTTCCTTTTCTCTTACTGTTATGACTGAAAATGTATTTACAGTTCAACATAGACGATAAATAATAAACAAAAATGACACTAGCATACTTTTTTGTGTGTGTACTATGTGCGTGAACTTGGATCTTTTCCAGCTTACAGTCTACTTATGGACACTTGTGTGATTTTTGTTTAGGTAAGAGCTTTGGTGAAAGTTAATAACAGCAGTTCAAAGAATTACTGGACTCAAGGGGTCAGTTAGTAACTACACCATCAACCAAATTCATCAATTATTAGTGTAGTTCATGAAGGAATTAGGCTAGGAAACATGAGGAGAGTTGGTAGGCATGTCCTGGTTTTAAGAATAATTTTTTTGTTCTTTTTTACCCTGACATGATTCAGGATAAGAATAATTTTAATTTCTCAATTCTCCTATTCTCTTCTTGCCAGGGGAGTTGAGGAAGCAACTGGGATGACGAATGAGGAGACATGGGGAAGGACGAGATTTTAGCACTTTGAGCCACTTGATAATTTCCAGAGACTGAGGTACTAGGTAAAATGACCTCATATGTGACCCCTGTCACACATGTAGTATATGGCTACATCCTAATCTGATAGTCACACTTTTAGGAAGGTATAGCTGAACCATCTGAAGCTAATTTTTGTTTTGAATATGGATCTATTGTGAAAGGATCAACTTTTACCAGCCTACCTCTTTATTGTATCCTTTCTCAAAGATTAATAGAAATTCTTTTTTTTTAAAAAAATTCTCTTTGCTACTACTAGGTGAACACATCCAGGGAAGTCAGTATCTCAGCTTTGCTCATACGAGACGTTTACCAAAGGTGAAGTGGTAGATTACTATCTAGATACTTCTAGTTATATATTTACAATTTGTAAATTAATTGTGCATATATTACTTCATTTGACCTTCACAATAAACCTGTGAAGTAGGCAAAATAAACAATATTAGCCCCTGTTTTACAGACTGTAAAACACATCCATCATTGACATTTCTATGTTAAACCATGTCCCAAGAATTACTTGTAGTAAATTGCAGAGCAAGGCTTGGTTCCCTTCCTTTATGTTTATCTGGTAGCAAATCTAGTACCGTATTGATAGCACACTGGGCCACTTTCCTGGGTATACCACCAAATGTGTCCATCTTCTTGGGGGAGAAGATGAGTATGCCTAAGGAAATTTAATAAGTACGTTATTTCTTAAAGTAAATCAAATTTCATTGTGGGTGATAAGTTAGACAACATTACAGATACTATTGTAATCAGGAGACAATAAATCAGTACATAGAACAATAAAACCTTTACTAACTCTATTAACAAACCATCCCTCTTTCTGCTCTCCTTCCTTCCAGGCATGTTTTGTTACAAAATGTGTTGACATTTTTTATTTGGGATTTTCTCTTTGTCAAATTTTATAGCACTGAAAGCCACATTGTAGAGGAAACACCAGACTGTTAAATGCCATGCAAGCTATTTAAATCTCATCTTTGGCAATACACTTAGTTTGTTACTTTGCTGTAATTTAAGGTTTGAATTATGGATATTTAACCCAGGCTTCATGGAATGAGGCACCAGTTTCCTTCTTAGACAGGGAAGAGGTATCTCAAATCCTTCTGTAGACTAGTAGATGATGTTCAGTTCAAATTAAACCCTTTATTGATTGTTGAAGGGGACACAAATTTAAGGCATAAAAACTTGTTCTGAAGGAACATAAAACCCAGTAAATGTAATCATAAAAATGACTATAGTTTACAAAGTACATTTATGTGTTAATACATTCTCTTATTTAATCTTCAACAGTGTAATACCTGTGATGTATCATCCTTATTTCACGAACGAGAACATTAAGGCACTGAGAAGTTAAATGACTGCTCAAGGTCACAGAGATAGTGACTGATAATTATTAATGTAGTACCTTTATGCAAGTAACAGTATTGTATAGTGAGTTTAAAGGTAAAGGTTGTGCCTACAATGACAGTATATTCACTCTGCCGTAGCTTGCCATAGCCATATTTGTTTGGTTTCTTCAACTAATCCAAATCGTGATATTACAGAAAGGAGAAAGGCAAAGAATTTAACCAGCTATGTGAACATCATTTTTTTTTCCTTTTTGAGTTAGGGTCTTGCTCTATCACATAGGCTAGAGTACAGTGGTATCATCATAGCTCACTGCAGCCTCAAACTCCTGGGCTCCAGGATCCTGAGCAGCTGGGACTATAGGCACGTGCCACCATGCCCGGGTAATTTTTTCTATTATTTTTAGTTGCCTGGCTCATTTTTTTTTTTCTATTTTTGAATAGAGACAGGGTCTTGCTCTTGCTCAGGCTGGTCTCAAGCTCCTGACCTCAAGAGATCCTCCTGCCTTGGCCTCCCAGAGTGTTAGGATTACAGGTGTGAACCACCATGCCCGGCATTGTTTTTGTTTTGTTTTTGTTTTGAGACAGGGTCTTGCTCTGTTGCCCAGGCTAGAATGCAGTGGTGTCATCATAGATCACTGCAGCCTCGATCTCCTGAACTCAAGTGATCCTTCTGCCTCAGCCTCCCGAGCTGGGACTACAGGGATGTGCCACCATGCCAGGCTACATGTTTTAGATTTAACATGTTCAACCCTGAAGTCCTGATCTTATCCCCCCAAACTTGCTCTGCCCCCAGCCACCCTCATCTCAGGAAATGGCAAGTCCATCCTTCCAGGTAATCAAGCACCAAAACCTGGGAGTCATTCTTGGCTCTCCTTTCTTTCATACCATACTCCTGATCCAGTCAGGAAATCTTGGTGGCTCTCCTTTCAAAATATATCCAGGATCTGACCTCTGACCATCCTCATTACTAACACCTTAGCCCAGGCCACTGCCCCCTAGCCTGGATCACTGCGGTGGCCTCCTGTCTGGTCTCCATGCTTCCTTCCTTGCCCCCTGCAGCCTGTTCTCTATACAGAAGCCAGAGGCATTCTTTCTAAACATCAGTCACTCTGCTCAAAATCCTTCAATGGCTCCCAGTTTCTCTAAGTATAAAAACTAATGTCCTTACAGTGGCCTGCAAAGTTCCCCATGATCTGGCCCCCTTTATCCCTCTGAGCTCTTCTGTCCCTGTCCATCTTGCTCACTCTGCTCCTGCTGTTCACCTTTTTTTTTTTTTTTTGAGACAGAGTCTCGGTTTGTTGCCCTGGCTAGAGTGAGTGCCGTGGCATCAGCCTAG